CCCCCTCCCTTGGGCCATTGAACCAGTGGGCTGGTCTGGATGTCAGTTTCAGGGGGTGACAAAAGTACAGGCCAGAACCAAATAAGGCAACATCCCCGAATTGACGTCAATTCGGTGCTTCGTTTGAATTTGCCCGTTTTATTAGGGAGAGTTTAAAATTGTGAGCAGTGAAAGGAGTTGTCAATGGGGTTTTAACTTCTCTGTACGTCCATTTCACCCACTGAACTATCGTTATTCATCTATGACAAGCTAAACTTGGCTTTGCATTCTATGGCTCCTTTAAAGAAACTTTAAAGTATATATTTTTTCCAAAGTATTGTCTGGTTTATTTTCACGCCCAGACATTCCTCTGGTTTGTTGCCTATTTTTTCTTATTATCTCTGCCTAATTATATTTCAACACGATGTTTCATTTCATTTCTACAATGTGAGGCTGGACTCCTCTGTCCAACCGAAGCAGTGAGGTGGGATCCAACTATAATTTGCAGCACTTAGAGACACACAAGACACTTAAAAATACATGACAGGTGAAAAGAGAGAAGGTGCATGTTCATGTGGAAAAATAGGAAAAAAAATAGTAAGCAGGAGCATTATGGGAGCAGTAAAGTTGGGCTGTTTTTAAAGAAGGTAAAAAAAAAGTGGAGACACCCTAAGGCCTGGTTTTGCTCTGGGAGGCCATTTAACTACTTTTTTTATTGTAGTACTAAAACACTGCAACACACAGTGCAGACAATTCACATATGAGCCATTTTACAGCTCAACGTTTTCCGAGAACCATTAGACTGAGTGCTTTCCTTCAAACACCACACTCAGATGTTGGTGGATTATACAGACATACAGACAGAATTCTGTATCTGATCCATCCTGCTCAACAAAAACTTCCCAGTTTGGACATGGTGACACTTCTGCTTGTGCTACGAAACAACGGCCAGTGAATGGAAGGTTGGACATTCACAGCAACCTTCATTTCTAATCTGTCAGGTCTCCTCTGGGAATCCTAGAAAACCAAAAGCCTCCCCTCTCATCCTAAAACATAATCCCGAGGCAATAACTCACTTTAAATCACCTCTTGAGTTAAAGTCAAAAGCTTTTAAGGTGAGCATGCAGAGAAGGCTGCAGAGGACGATATCCCAGGACGAAAGAGAAGGCAGGCGCTTGCTCCTGGAAGTGCTTTGACAGGGGAACCAAGGTGAAAACATTTCTACATGGATATGCTCACTCATGCACAAATTGACTGTATCCTCACATATGAAGCCATGTTCGTGGCATTTTGATCTGCCCAGCCTTCACTGAGGAATTTGACCTCTTCACCCTGAAGCAGAGCCTGAACTGGGAGGATGAATCCACTGTTTTTTACATATACCATAACCCAGAGCAGACTCCCTGCAACCTACTCCTTCACCAGCAGACGAAATGAGACCCTGGAATTCCCACACCGGAGAACCCCCCCCCACCCAAAAAAAAAAAACAACAACAACACAATAACTACATTAAAATAAAATTCAATTATTTAATTAGAATTCTATACCATGCAAATTCTTAATTTACTCCAATTTCATTAAATCTTTGGGGAAAGAAGGTTAGTGTTACTGGGAGAGTCCCAGTATGGCGTTCTGTAGATACATCCACCGTATGTTTAGCTGGGGTTGATTGGATTGCCCAGCACTGGTTGTCATGGTTTTCAAGCTATCATGTGGTGATCCTGTGGTAACCATGACGCCCATGGCTGGTGAAAATTTCCCAGCATTCCCTCAAAGCTTCTTTCCAAGACATATGGCACACCCAAAAACCACGAATAAAATCTATTTTATTTCATGCGGTCAAACCATCATCCTTTTTCTTCCTTAATTTCACCTCCTCCTCTTTAACTCAGGGTCATATAAACCTCTTCTTCCGTATTTCCCATCAGCTTTCTCCCCATTCATCCCCATCCCCCCGCTGCTTCCTCCCCCCTCCTCTCTCTCATTTTATTTCCATCATCTGTTATTCTCAATCTCCCTCTCATTTGAATTCTCTGGAGATTTTTTATTCTGTCAGATTTATTTTTATCAACTCATAATCCTATGCAAAAAAATCACAAAAACATGCCAAAGTACTAACAGTGTTAGAGTGAGGTTTTAATATCTGATATTCCAATGTGTAAAATCTGTCTGTAGAGCTCATTATTACTTACAGTACATAATATAAGCAGAGGAGATCAAATGAGATGTTAACCTTAAACTTTGCAGCAGAACCCCTCTCACATCAGTAAAAAGACACATCATTGTCTATGATGTGGCTTCTGAGAGCAAAGACAATGTTTTTATATTGTATTTATCTTGGTTTAATCAATTTTGCAATAGTAAAACCCGCATTTTCACCATTTCCAATTGAATCTATAGAAAAAAAATTACCCAAAGTGCATATTAATGTTCTGTTTAGGGCTGCCACTAACGATTATTTAGCAAATTGATTAATTGATTAATTTTTCGAATAACTGATTACCGGTAATAATCGGATTGCCGAAGGTTCCTTAAAGAAGATGTTTTACGAAATCAAACAAGTAAAACGTTTCTACTTGAGGAGTTCTGGAAGCAGCATATTAAGAGATGCAACTTTTTTCATCTTAAATGCAAAATGTATATAATATTTTTTTTTTTTACAATTTTAATATAATTTCTTACAGTCCCTATACTCCACTTAATGATTAATCGATTACTAAATTAGTTGACGATTATTTCAATAATTGATTAATCCGATTAACTGTTTTAAGCCTCGTTCTGTTACTTCTTTATGTTGTTCTTCAAAAGTTTTAGATGATTGGAAACTCAGTTTTTAGGCTTATTTCAGCTTTATAAGCAGATCAACACCACCAGCAAGGATACATGTGTTATTTTAAATGTTTAAACCATAAACATAAAGGATAGAAAACTATGTTATAGTACTGTTGCATTATGAATAGCTTAGAGCTTCTGAAAATTCAAAAATACAGCTTCTTAAAGGATTAGCATGTTATATAAGACAAAAGGCTTGTATATACAGTTATATGATCAACTGAACTACTCAATAATGGGGGAACTAGCTCTTCATTGGCACCCACTAAAAATGAGAAAAGTCGTTGCTAAAGACATAACTCTTGCAAACACTGCTGTATGCAAAAAATATAATTAAAAAGTTAGGTGGAAGAAAACAGTGCAGCAGCAATAGGGATTAGAAGGTCTTTAGTTAGCTTTTGTCTATAACCAACTTACCCAGACATAAACACTTGAAATATATCATGCATGTGATAAATCTAATCAAAATTAGTATAAGAATCTATCTTTTTCATATTGATCCAATTAAATAATAATGTCCAACACCTTCTTATGTTTACAGATCGAAATATAAATTACCTCTTTGAATAAAAATCACAACCTTGTGTGATCTGAAAACAGCACATGGACCAGCATCCATGTGCATTAAAGCATCATGTGTATCCATTGCATTAAATCGGATTTGCTAAATGCGATTGCTTGAATTACTTTCCTGGACACATCGGATTTATAATTTCCAAAGAGGCACATAAATATTCCTGAATGTCTAAACAAAGAACATTGTGTAGGTGCAGCGAGTAGTGTGCAGCCGTTGGCCATGTGTTCAAAGAGGGCCCATCGCTGATTCATACTCAGCAAATAGAACCTTATTCTCCTGATCTGGGACGGATCGCATAAATGTTTGATATCAAGTTAAAGAAAGGTGTTCTGCTTCTAAATTCAAGAGTATATTCATATTCCCTCCTTTGGAGTCATTAATCATTTCGTAGAAAGTTTTCCTCCTTTTCTTGGTACATGGTTCAGCTTTGACTTCAGTGTTATATCAGGGATCTCTGCCAGGCTGTAATAGTGACACGCTTTAACCTAAAATAGCTGCTTTACCAGCAATGAGGCCTGTCCAGCCTAAAAGCAGCTTAGTGGGGAAAAACTCTGAGTCCCTTAAAGCTGTGCTAATCAGAGCTGTTAGAGGAGGAATTGTCAAATATATTTCATATTGGATTACAAGGACATCCCAAGCTCTCATTGCCAAGGGTTGAATTTTTTTGTTTGTTAATCCCTAAATCAATCAAAACTATGAATTCACATAATTTTTGTTCACCTAAAACACTTTCCCCTCAATTGCACCTTTGTGCACTTTTTTGTAGTTTTATAAAAGTAGATAGTAACATTTGCTTAGATACATGAATCTGCATAATTCCTTCATTTCCTGTTAGATTTAAAACTCGCTCGATTGTTGTCGGTTTGTCACTTAATGTCAGAACTGGAAGGTCAGACCTTGCAGAAAAATGGAATTTAGCACCATTGTTTATTTCCTGTATCCCAAAGCTTAGCTTAGTGCAACACCTGACTGCAAAAGCTCGATCCAGAACAATCATATCCCACCAAGACAAAGAGAGGGGAAGCTGTTGCTGATCTGAGCATGCGTCTTCAGCAACCACAAGAGCATGACGCCAGCCGTTGGCTGACGGATGCAACAAGCCACCCCGAACACTTCCAGTTTTGATTGGAGAGAAAGAATGACAACAGAAGAGACAGAAGTAGACACAGAGAGAACAAAAGAGCCCCACAGGCTCCCAAATAGACGACTACATGTCCATTAATGGCAAATCTCACTCAATTGCAGCAATATCAGCTTATCTGTTGTGGACTTGTCCAGCCTCTTTACAGGCAATCAATGCCCCCTAGTTCTCTCAATGCCCTAACACTTTTCTGCACAGCTAGCTAATACATTACAACATCCAGCCCCATCCCCCTGCAAGGGCAGTCAGGCACTCAGAGCAGCACTCACCATGTACAGAACTGCCCTTATATGCTGCAGCAGCAGCTGGAGGATCTGTTGGCGAAAAAAACCCATTGTGTGGCATTAACTAAATTCTGTGTGCAACCGATAAGAGAGTTGCAGTGATGGAAGCCATGGGATTTATCTTCAAGACATGACATTTTTCTCATCAATTAGCTTTAAACACCTTCCTTTGGTTGGAAAACCTACCTGACTTTGAACTCGGCGAGCTGCGGCTGCACACCAGGTTCAGCACAGTAGATCTGGGGGAAGTAGAATCGATGAGACGGAAGGTTGATATCCATGGTGAATGATGCAAGCCTTTAAGGTAAAATCCTATTATATGCAAAACAATAAAAAATAAAGAGAGAACTAAACAGACAATCTTGTCTTTGTCTGTCCTGATATCTGTCGCCGACACTCCCAGTAAAGGTCGAAGTCAGGCAGGGAGATAACGATCACCTTCTCCACGAATGGTTGCAAAGGTTGGAGAATGCTACCGCCAAAAAGGCAACCCTTTTCTCTTCATCTCCTCCATGCACTGAACAAGCAGTCACCTCTGCTGTCTGGCACCAAACAGGCACACTAACCTATTTCCCCACTAGCAGCTACACTATACTCAGCAGCTGTGTGAACGAGAACAAAGATAGCAGCTCTGAAACAGGCTGGCTCCCAAAGAGGTAAGAGGAGAAAATGCAGGATTTTAGTCACCAAATCATCCTTTAGAGGGGAAAGATGCAACCATAGGAGAAAAAAAAAGTGACAAAAAGAAGAATTTGGATGAAAGATTTTCCTGAAATACAAGGGCTCTCCTCAGCCACGTACAGAAGACTGAATGGAGAATGAGAGTCCTTTGGTTTTTATGCTTCAGAGGCAGAAGAAAGAAGAGGGTGGGGGAGTCAAAGAGATGGAGACCGAGAGAGAGAATCCCGGTGTTGTGAGGCGTTGCCCTCGTACTGCCTCTCCCCTCACTGTCTCATTGGATTACCTCCTCCCTTTCTGTGCCCCCCTCCCATCCTCCATCCCTTCTCTTCCCAGCTGTGACAGGAGGGAGATGGGCAACCAGCCCTGGAGGCTGCTAGCCCCCACCCCTCCTCCTGCTCCTCCCACTCTCGCCACCTGATTGGTCAGGGTGGGGATGCGTAAGCCCTGGTGGAGAGAAGGAACGAGGTTGAAGAGGACGAGCAACAGATTTTAATTCATCCGATGGGCCCTCTTTGCTTCCTCGCGTATTATTTGACGTGGCGTGCCAGGCTGGGGCGGAGCACACACACACACACACACACACACACACACACACACACACACACACACCACTATACACACACCAACCAGTATCTATATACACACAGTGATCCATCAGCTTATACTTGATGTTCATTAACCTAAAGTGACGCAGGTTGAGAGCGGAAAATAAACAAGTCCATCTGTTCTGCACATATTAAGTGTGAGCAGTGAAAGGATTGGGTAACTCTCCTTTATTATTAAAATGTGTTAAATAAATCAACAAAAGCTTATAAAAGTAAGCAGCAGTGTATAATGTAGATGTATTTGTGCATTTGATTCTCTTTGTTCCACTTTTTGGATAAATCTTCTGATTTAAATCGCAGGCTCAACATTAAAAGCAGTTTACCAACAAATCCATCCCGTTTAAACTGCAGAGCTACTTTCTTCTCAGAAAGTAAACCGCTGGTGGGTTTCAGCTCCGCTCACTTCACTAACATGTTTCTCGCTGATCAGCCGGAAAGGGTTTCCATTGATCATGTAGAATTGCTGGATGACACAGTTTGTCCTGAAATCGATGTGGGCAACAGTGCAGTTTAGGGTTTTGGACTGGTCTCCACAGGGGTGCCCTTAAATTAAAATTAAAACTATTAGACTTAAAAATCTAGTAGAGAAACAAATATCTATCGCTTGTAAAAAAAAAATAAAAAATAAAATCATAGTTTAAAGTTTTTTTTTTTGGAAAACTAGACTTTAACTACCAGCTTCAGCTGGTTTATCAGTCTTCCTCTGTGTTTTGGAATCTGATGGCAGATCGCTTTGAACAGATGGAGAAGTGGTGGAGTTACTAGTAATGACTTGGCCACATTCACATCTTTATATTAATCATACATCAGAGAACCAAAAATATGGCAGATATGTGTCAGGTCTGTTTTGTTGCCTGACAACAACATTAGAGCGTTAGCTCTTGTGTTTAAATTCAGCTCAGACTGTCGTAAAGTATTGCTCTAGGCCGCATGGTGCATTCTTTAACAGATCCGACCCTCTCAGGTTACATCGGCGTGTTTTTGAGAAGGGTAGTTTGCTGTATACTGACCTGAACAATTATTTATTATACACCAAAGTTTGAATTTAAGGCTGGAGATAATGACAACGAGACATATTTGTGCAGAATTTTTGGTCATGTGCTGTATGCATGGTGAGTTAGAGTTTTGCTTAGTTGCTTAGTTCATGATGAAACAGGCTTCATTTGGAGGCAACCAGATTTCCGTAGGGCAATAGAGGAGTAAAAATGCAACATGGGCATTAGATCAAAACTGTTTTGATTAACCATATCTTTAAAGCATGGATAAAGCATAGCATATTCATCAATTTTCCATCACGCTTTATCCCTGCTGGGGTCATGAAGGGTGCTGGTGCCTATCTCCAGCTGTCTACAGGCAAGAGGCCCTAATACACCCTGGACAGGTCACCAGTCCATTGTAGGGCAACACAGAGAAACACAGGACTAACAACCATTCATGCACACATTCACACCTAAGGAGAATTTAGAGACACCAATTAACCTAACAGTCATGTTTTTAGACTGTGGGAGGAAGTAGCAGTACCCAGAGAGAACCCATGCATGCTCAGGGAGAACACGCAAACTCCATGCAGAAAGACCCGGGCCGGAAATCAAACCCAGAACCTTCTTGCTGCAAGTTCTACCGCTACTGCATCACTAAGCAGCATAGCACATATATAAACTCATTGGGTTAGTGTTTTGCAAATAACATTCAAACCAAGATCCTGTCCAGGGCATCACTGAGCTCCTGCACAGTCTGAAATGCAACCTGGTAGTGTTGGATGTACATCCCAGAAATTTTTCATTTGATTTGCTGCTGGTTTTATATATATATATATATACATAAATACCGGTATATAAATTCCTAAAGTCTTTCAGTAGTTGACATTTTGCTCCATTTGAAAGACCAAGAAGTTTAATTCTGTTGGAATTGTTAGAAACTCCTAGACATGGGACTGATAATCTGTTCTCAAAATCTCCCACGCATCTTTTTTTAACCGCATTACTGGATTCAGACCGCGACTGAGCTGCAACTCCTCTTAAAAGTACATGATTACAAGTTTCATCAAGTAATGGATACCTACATTTGAGGAGCAGATCAACTGAAAAACAAAAGAAATGTAATTAAACCTATTGTTTGTATGCCTGGTTTATTATTAGATACAGTTGTTCAGACAACTCAAAAAGTCCTGTTTGGAAAGAGCAAAGAGGAGAGACAGATGGACAGATCAGGAAACAGTGTAACGGCTTGGTGAGGTGGAAATGAGATGCCTGGTGAGAAGAGAAAAGTGAGACCAGAATATGGAGGAGGGAAATGATGGGGACAGGAAAGAAAAAGAACAAGTAGATGAAGGTAAAGGGACCACTAGCTGAGTCTGTGTGCACCCATCCCCCACTGTGGTCTGCAGGGTCAGAGCCAGCAGCAGCAGGCTGCATTCTAATATTAAGCTACACAACTCTGCTTGGAGTGAGTAAACACAACCCTCTGTGTGAGCATGTGTGCACTGCAGCCAGTTACTCTAACCTGCCTATTAACGCTCAGCAGGAGGGATGGACGGCCTTCTGTCTGACACACAGCATGAAAGAGGAAGAGTTCCCCACACAGGACAAAATGCTGATAAGAGTGAAAATCTCTGCAACATAGGAAGTTGGTCCAGAAGTCAAAAGACAATCTTTGGAGGAATTTAAGGGGGAAAAAAGCTAATTTATCTGGGGTAAGAGGCTGGAGGTGGTGTTATAAAGTATAGGAGCCATTTTTTATTTTTATTTTTTAAAGCAATTAAAAAAAGAAACTTAAACAATTTTTATTGTCATTTCGTATACACAGAGTGTATACACAACGAAATTTCGTTTAGCACAGCTTTCAGAACATTTCCATTTCATAAAGTGCAGCTGTGATCAAATGATAACAGTGTGGGAGAAAATAAAACATGGTGCAATATGGAAGTTCAGAGCATGAAATATTTAAGGTGCAAATATGCAGAATTTTGGTGTGGTGTTATCAGTGTGATGCAGAGTCTGTGACATGATTAAGAGTTTTCTTTACAGTTAAGCTGTCTGACAGCGGTGGGTAAGAAACTGTTGCAATATCTGCTGGTCCTGCATTGAATGCTGCGAAGCCTCTTTCCAGAGGGCAGCAGGGAGAACAGTCCATGGTGGTGGTGTGAGGGGTCAGTTATAATGTTACAGGCTCGGGACACGCATCCTTAGTGAAGCGGTTCCATCGGTAAGCGAAATGGAACGGGTGGAATGTAGGGGTAAGACTGGAGACGACGTGTTCCACATAAAGGACGAAGTTATTATACCAGGAATTAAAAAGTTCCAAACAAAAATATGAATATATTTGGGGGGGTTTAAACAGAGTAAAATACTTTTTAATTCTGCTCTTTAAGATAGTAAAGTGTAACACATTCCACTAAAACAATAAAAAAAGAAAGTTGGGATATAAAATTGTTAGCCCCCCTAAAAACGTTTAAAGATATTTTTAAAGATATTTTATCACGTGCTATAACTTTCTAATGGTGAAAGCTTGTTAAATTAATTAAATCCTACTGGTTTCACCTCATAAACAAAAAGCATCATGCATAAAATAGAAAACATCAGTCAGGTTTTAAAGGACGGGGTTAAGTGTGTTATCGCTTTTTTTCAATATAAACTGGATTAACTCCATAAATTAAAGGAGAACCAGGAAGCCAGCCTGGCAAAGGTAGTGAGATTTGTCTCTGGAGACCCCAGACCACCAGCCAAGGTTAATGAAAAATGGAAAACAAAGTTTTTAAGAAGTTATATATATATATATAGATATATATATATATCTATATATATATATATAGATATATATATATATAAGCCCATAACCCAAGAAACAACCCCAACCACCCACCCGTCTTCCATGAAACACAAAAATATATGGAGGTGAAACTATTATAAAATCAGTCAGTCATAATCTTTTATGTATTGGGGTCAACTGAAATGCCAGGAGTTGTTAAGAATAACATTTTTCATGTAAATGCGACAATCTAGGTTAAATAAAGGTTAAATAAAAGATTAGTGCTAATATATTAGCTAATATTAAATTCTGCTTCATAATTTGAAACATAAATGTGACCAAAAAGACAGAAAAACTGAATCCTTCTGTAAGATGGCAAATAACAGCATCCCCATCTACATTATATAAGTATTAAAAAGCCTAAAAATCAGAATTTTCCAGCTTTCAAACCAAGATGTTTTAGCTGAAAGCATTTTTTTTCTTTTTTCTGCAATTTATGACAATTTTTTGGGAGCTCACAAACAAACATGTACTATGGTTAAAAAAAAAAGAAAAAAGAAAGACCTTCATTAGCAAAGCATTTTAAAACCCCACTGACTGGACCACCCACTGGTTCTAAATCAAGATCCCAACATAACTGAGAATATGTTGAAATAATATGATTTCATGTCTATTTTGCTCCCATGCAATTCCTCATAATGTAATCTGCCTTTCATCCCTTCATCTCTGCGAATCCACCCGTTAGTAAAGTGATGAGGAGGGAAAGAAGGGATTAAATTATGATGAGAGGTGTGTGACGGAGAGAAGATCTCTCACGTTTTCTGTCACACAACCACTGCATGACTCAGACGAGCCGTGCTGTTTAGAATACGCCACACCGATGGGGGATCAGAAGAGATTGCTGAAAAGGAAGAAAAAGAGCTTTCCTTCTCTTTCACAAAGATTTGATTATCCATCTGTGAAGCCCCC